ATATATATATATATATGCGCCGAGCACTCAGATCATTTGATCGGACATCTACTTGTCAATTGTAAATCCCCTGTGGTCTGGGTTTGATTCCCCCCGAGTGTAGTGTGTGGTACTCGAATTCTTAGAAGCACGAGGGATGGCTGAGGCTCAGTCTCTGACCATTTCTTTTTAATCTATATATATATAAATATATATAAATTTCTCGTGTATGAAAATTTAGATTTATTAAATCTAATTATAGAATATTTATTAAATCTAATTATAAAACGAATTTATGGTATTTATTCAATCGTCCCTCTTCATAGTTTGCGAGATTGGTCCCATCTAACCCAAAAATCTTGTTTAACTTAAAATTAAGTCGCGGCCAAATGCCACAATAACAGGACTTCAGTTACTTATTTCAGGCAAAGACAAAAGAAAGGCCGGATTTTTAAAGCTGTACTTTTGTTTTATGGAATTTATAAAGCAGTATTTTTGTTTTTTGCCCCCTACAACATCTAATTTCCTCTCGCCTGCATTTGCATAAAGCTGTATTTTTGTGTTATGCCCCTTGTAAAATCCAATCTTCCTTAGGTCTACAGTTATTATAAAATCTCATTCCACTCACAATTTTGAAGCACAAAACTTTAGTCTTTCTTACTTTAATTCATCAGTAAGAAGGCAGCATGGAGAAGATTTCAGAAACAGCTGGTCAGGTCATAAGATGCAAAGGTTTGTGAAGATTTTTTATTTCTCAAGGTTTTAGATTTCGATGTCATCGATTGCATCCTCTCCTCTGTTTCTTCAACACATTTCTATGTCATGCTTCGTCAAATTACTTTAGTTGTACGATATATATTTCTTCAACACATTTCTATGTCATGCTTCGTCAAATTATTTTAGTTGTACGATATATATATATATTTTTTTTTGCTGGATCAACTTTTATTTGACATTGTTTTTCTGCAATTTTGTGCTTGTTGATGTGAATCTAGCTGCGGTTGCTTGGGAAGCCGGGAAACCACTGGTGATTGAGGATATAGAGGTGGCGCCTCCAGAAGCAATGGAAGTCCGTGTGAAGATACTTTACACTTCCCTTTGCCACTCGGATGTGTACTTCTGGGAAGCTAAGGTAAATTCAAATTACAGATATGATTATCATTTGTTTTAAATTTTTGATTCACTATGGTTATGTTATTTGTTTTTGACATTGTAGGATCAGTTACCAATTTTTCCTAGGATCTTCGGCCATGAAGCAGGAGGGTATGTTTCATCTTTTTTATGTGGAAATACTTGTCAGGAGGTTAGGAGAGATTTGAAATCATGATCAGTCTCATTTAAAAGTCAAATGTTTATGTTTGATTAACACATTTCTAAACTAATTTTAATTGAGCTATCTGAGTTAATTTTGATTTTGAGTTGATTAGAATCAATTGATTTTGTAGAGCAAATTCTTGAGTTTAAGAAATATGTGTCAGTCTTAGGAGCCATTTGGTAGCTGCAAGATTTGAGCAGGACTTATGCTAAGAGGATGTTTAGTAGCCAGATTTATTATGGATTTGCTCGGATTTAGTCTAAATTCTTCAAAACAATCATTTTAAATAAAATAAGTTCACTGTAATTTTAAATCCTATTTCTACCACCTTCAGTTGTAAATCCTGAATTTATTAAATTAAATTTGGGATTTAATGAACCGAAGCACAAATGGAGGAGAAAAAAGTGGGTTGCCTTCTCTGTTGAGCTCTCATCACCACTTTGTTGCATTAGAGGCTTTGTTTGTATACTGGATAAGTTGGTCATTTTCTATTTTTATTAGAGTATCATAATTCCCTCTTATTTCTATGAGGGATTATGACTGGTTTTTGTGTGTTGAGCTGCAACCCTATTTTATTAGTTATTTCTTACTCCCCATCATCTCCATCAGTTGATAGTGGGATAACCTCTTCCCATGGATGTAGACGGATTTGTGAGGAATCACATAAATTGCATTATGTTTGATTATTTTTTTGTTGTGTGATTTTATTTTCCACATTTTTTGCACAACAATTGGTATTAATTCTGGTACAGTAGGACTTCGGTGAAGTCGTGGACGCACGAGAAATAAATTGGTTCAAGGTTGGTCACAAGATCTGTTGGAGCTATGGATAATAGCATCTTGTCAGGTACTTCAACATCCACATCAGTAGTGAAAAATGCGTCGGTTCATTAGTTGGTTATACATCTCATCAAGATCAATAAAAAGTTTAGAGTAGTTTGATGTGAACTCTCACATTGGAAATTACAAGAGGATATCTATATGTTGCAGCTACCAAAACTTGAAACCTCAAAAAACTTTGTTTGATAACTGAACAAGTTCTTAAATGAGTTGAAGCATTCACCATGATAGTGATATAAAAAGTTTAATCATTTTATGATGGGATAAGAGTACACAATGAGCCAATATGATCTTTGTGTATATTTAAGAAGTTGATCAATGGGGAGTTCATTCTTTTGCTTTTATATATTAATGGCATGTTGATTGCATCCGCCAGTCAAACTGAAGTTAATAGGATGAGGAAACAATTATACAAATATTTCAAGTTGAAAAAGTTGGGTGAAGATCATAAAATTATTGACATAAAGATTCTAAGAGATAAGGTAGGTAGAAAGATTTAGCTCACGTAAGGAACACACATTCAAAAGATGCCGAATGGGTTGATGACTCTAGCAAAGTCGTGAGTCTACTCATTACATCTCACTTTCAGTTGAGTTGAGTCGATGTCCTAAAGATGACTATGAGAGAAAAGATATACGATTAGTTTCTTATGCTAATGTGTGAGAAGTTTGATGTATGTCATGATTGTATTAGACCAGATATTTTACAAGGTATTGGTGTTGTAAGCAGATTCATGCATGATCCAGGACAGACTCATTGATAAGCTGTAAAGAGTATTCAGAGATATCTGAAGTCTACAATTGATGTCGATTTAGTATTTGAGAGGTATTTATCTATTGTTGATTTATGTATAGGCTACACTAATTCAGACTATCTATGCGATATAAATAAGCTTAGGACTACGACTGTCAATTTATTCATATTGACAGGAGATCCAATCAATTGTAGATCAGGTCTTCAGTCCACTGTTTCTTTGTCTATTACAGAGAGTAAGTACATTGCTGTCACATAAGCGATGAAGGAAGTGATATGAAAGCAGTACTAGATGATTCCAAAGTTGATCAAGAGTCTCTCATAGTATTATGTATAGTCGGAGTGTGATATTCTTGACTATAAATTCAATTTACCATGTTCTTACAAAGCACATTGATTTGAAATATCACTTTATTTGGGACTTAATGATGACGATAATATTCTTTTGAAGAAGATAGATATAAAGGAGAATTCAACTGACATGCTCATAAAGGTACTACTACTTCAGAAGTTTACATATTGTAGGAGTTTGAAAAATATTTAGGCTCATGATTGATTTCCTATTCAAACATTTTGAAGAACTACACGAGGTTTGATTCCCTCTAGAGGATGGTATGTACACTATTATCTTGGTGCATTTGTTTTGGTGTTAAAGCTCATTTTATCATCTCTCACTTATCCGGAAGCGAATGATGAGGTGAAGATTGTTTCCTTAGAGGGTTTGTTTTGTAAGAGATAAATTGTATTAGAGGGTTTGTTTCTATAAGAGATAATTGGTAATTTTCTTTTTCTAATAGTATGCCCCAATCCTCTTTTATTTCTATGAGAGATTAGAGATGGTTTTGTATGTGAAGTTGTAACTCTATTTTAGTTGTTTTTTTTTATCCCTGCCTATTGATAGTGGAATAATCTCTCCCCGTACGTATGTGAATTTGCGCCAAATCACATAAATTAAATTGTGTTTGATTGTTTGTTTGTTTTGTGATTTTGTTTTCCGTATTATTTTGTACGATGAATTTGTTTTTTTTTTTTGTTTTCTTTTCATCAACGGTTTTAACCTCTTGTCAAAATATCCTCATTAACGATTCTTATAATTTTAGTAAAAGGGTGTTTTGGGAATATATTTAAGGGGTAAAAATTTGTGATTCTGTTGGTGCTTTCGCCCGGCGAGCTGAGCTTTCAATGTGACTTTGTGTTTGGTGGCAAGGTGAGTTTCAAGTGTGTATTATTTTTTAATTAAAAAATATCAATTTTAATAGATAACATAAGCTGATTAAAAATATATTAACTTAAATCAGTTGATAATATTTATAAATTTAATTTTATTTTACTAATAATTAATAACTAATTCGGATATTATTGCATGCCATATATGATTTAATTAAAATAATTAAGATTGGAAAAAAATAAATCATTATGATAATTAAAGTTGAATAAAATAAACTAGCTGCAAAAATATAATATAAAAACTAATCATAGTAATTAATACTAATATTTACAAACATTAATTTGAACAATTTTTATTAATTTATTATTTTAAATAGCTTAATAATTTACTAATTAATTTTTTATTTGCATGTTAGCTAACATTGAATATACATTAAATAGTCTAATTAAGACTGAAATTTGCAAAATAAATATAATAAGATATCACATTTATATAATAAATGTTAAAATTCTATTTGAGCTACGAGTTGCTTAGATTCTGAAATAAATAGTCAAGCAGTTCCTCATGATTTAATCTATATTATGTCAAATAGGTTATAGAATTTAATTGCCTAAAATTGAATTAATATGATTTATTAAGTCTTACTTGACTTAATCCTTATGGCTAAAATAACTCCCACTTATTTTTTTATTTTTTTCTCGTTTAATCTCTATTTTGCTCTAAATATTTGATTTAATGCTCCTATAATTCAATGAATTTCAATACTTCACGCACATCCTTTTCTTTGCCATCAAGCTCTGATGGCTACCATTTATATAATAAAGAATAATTAAGTGAAAAAGATTAAGTTAAATAAATAAATACTTTTTCTATTTAACTTAATTTAATAAAAAATTAATTTACTAAAAAGATTTAAAGTTATGCAAATTATAATCTAATCATTGCTGTCAAAATACCATGAACAATTATTAATTGAAACTATTAGCATTCAATCATATAAATTAAATAGATAACTTAATCTATGAATTCAAACTAACATTAATGATTAGTATCAGTTCATTAAAAAGAAGTTCATTTAATTAAACTGAGAGTATTTGTATTTATAATTTGGCTAAACAAAAAAATACTGTTTAATTAGCTCACTAAAAAAACGGATGAAGGAATTAACTGAATTATTATCACATGATAATTATAATTTACTTAATCTAATTAACTTGACAAATGATAAGTTAATATAATAAAATATTATGATCATTTAAATCCCCAAATCTTGAACTAAGTAGCCAAATAATTTACCAGGATTTAACAAGTTATAACACCTACCATGTCGATTAACTTTCTATGATATAACCCACCTAGGATTTACTAAATCCAATTTTATAAGATTTATTAAAAACATCATAAATGCTAATTTGATCATATGCAATAAATGTTAACATCCTTTAATTCTATTCTCTATGCTGATAGGATTGTAGAAAGTGTTGGGAAGGGTGTTACAGATCTGGCACCAGGAGATGTAGTGTTGCCAATATTTACAGGTGAGTGCGGGGAGTGCGTTGATTGCAAATCAGAGGAGAGCAACTTATGCAGGCTTTTAAGGGTATTTCCTGACAGGGAAGTTATGATTAGTGATGGAAAGTCCAGGTTCTCAATCAATGGAAAGACAATATACCATTTTCTAGGCTCCACCTTTAGTCAATACACTGTTGTTCCTGCTGGTTGCATTGCTAAGATCAATCCTCTAGCTCCCTTGGAGAAGGTTTTTATTCTTGGTTGTGGCATTTCAACAGGTGAGAAAATTTTTGTTGTTTTTTAATTGCTTGGAACTTTTATCAAAATGCAATTCAATATTGTTACAAAATTTGTTGGCCATTTTATCATGTGAAGGTTTTGGTGCTGTCCTCAATGTTGCAAAACCATTCAAGGGTTCGACGGTGGCCATTTTTGGCTTGGGTACTATCGGCCTTGCCGTGAGCCATTTTCTTCTTAGTTTGAATCTCTTACTTATGTTGCTTTCTACATTATTTTTCTATCATGAAAGATTTAGTTTTCTTATTTATGAGTAGGCGGCCGAAGGTGCTCGATTGTCTAAGGCTTCCAGGATTATTGGCATTGATATAAATCCTAAGAAGTTTGATCAGGGTAAACAATCTATTTTTTGTTGTATAACCAGAGCTCACTATTGTTCATGTTACAGATTGATAGAATATAATAAAAATTTTTATTTTTAAAATCATGTACATCTTCAACCAGCAAAAAAGTTTGGAGTCATGGAGTTCGTTAATCCAAAAGACTATGACAAACCTATTCAAGAGGTTTGTTTAAATATAGATACCGATTAATTACATTTTCTGAATTAGATTCTTATTGCAATTAAATTATTCTTATGGCCAAAATAGATTTAGTTTTTAAAACAATTAAGTTCTAAATGATATTTATGATGTTGAACATCATTAGATACTTGTTGAAATGACCGATGGAGGAGTTGATAGAAGCATTGAGTGCACTGGTAATGTGGATGCCATGGTGGCTGCTTTTGAATGTGTTCGAAGTGTGAGCTTCTTCTTCTATAGTGAATATGTTCATAAATATTTATTGTAGAATGCAAAAGAAAGCAGATTTTTAGTTTCTCCATGATTAAAAACTCGCAGGGCTGGGGTGTTGCTGTCTTGGTTGGTTTACCACCTAAAAATGCAGTGTTAAAGTTAAACCCTGCACATTTCATGATGGATTCAAAGGCTATCAAGGGTACTACATTTGGAGACTACAAACCTCGTTCTGATTTGCCCATACTTGTTGAGAAATGCATGAACAAGGTATTTTTAAAGCTTTGTGGTGTAGGATAATGAAATGAAATAATTACGATTTTCTGTGAAAACTTCTCTGAGCATGACATGATCATTTTAATTTTAATTATGTTTTGATAATTAATCAAATCTACCATTTTATTGGTTAATAATATTAGTTCATGTGATGATGCATTACATTAATAAATTTCATCATAAGCCATTATGTTACAAGCATTCTTTATAATAATGTGTCATGCGAAAATAATGCAAAAACATATAAATTCACACAACAATCAAACACAAGATTTACGTGGTTCGACACATCCCCGGGGAGTGTTTTTCCACTAGCGCAGGATAGAGAGAAAGGAAAAACGGTAAAGGGTTACAATTTAACACTTTCTCACCATACAACCTCTCAAAAGCCCTTAAGTTCTTTTTATAGAGGAGGACTAGGACATACAAGTAAATAAAACTAAAATACAAAAATTACCCCTAATTACAATAAACCCATAAATACAACAATCTCTAACTCATCTCCTACTTCCAGATAAGTGAGAGATGACCAAACGAGCTCCAAGCTTCTTTTTAGTTGCACCAAGATGGTTGCCTACATACTCCCCCCCTCCCGAAGGAATCAAGTCTTGCTAAGTTCTTCAAAATGCCCGCCTGGGCAATTAGTCATAAGCTCAGATGTTCACCAAGTTTCTGCAGTAGGAAAACTTCTGGACTAGTAGTAACTTCATGAGCATGTCAGCTGAATTCATTTTTGTATCTATTTTTTTCAACAAAATATTGTCTTATTTAATGAAGTCTTGAATAAAGTGGTATCTCACATCAATGTGCTTGGTAAGAACTGAATAAAGTGGTATCTCACATCAATGTGCTTGGTAGGAACATGATGAACTGAATTTGTGGCAAAAAATATTACGCTATGACTACCACATACCACAGTCATTGAGTCCTAATCAACTCTCAAGTCATCCAATAGATCCTGCATTCATATGGCTTCCTTCATCGCCTCAGTGACTGCTATGTACTCAGTCTCCATAGTAGACAAAGTAACAATAAACTGAAGAACCGACCGCCAACTGACTAGAATTTTTGTCAATGTGAATAAATAGCCCGTAGTATATCTTTGTCTATCCATATCATTTGCATAGTCTAAGTCCGTGTACCCTACACACAAATCTGCACTAGATGACTGTCTCTTAAACACTAAGCCAATATCAATTGTATTTTTAGATACATCAAAATACTCTTCACAGCCAGCCAATGACTCCTTTCAGGATCACGCATGAACCTGCTCATAACACCAACTGCTTGTGCAATGTCAGGTCTAGTACAAACCATTACATATATTAAATTGCCCATTGAATTAGCATAAGGAACCAATCACATATCTTTTCTCTTTTAATCATCTTTAAGACACTATTTGAACTCAATTGAAAGTGGGATGCAATTGGTAGACTCATCTTCTCGCTCGAGTCATCAACCCCAAATTTCTTCAGCATCTTCCGAACATAAACTCCTTGCTAAAACCAAACTTTTCTAGCCGCCTTGTACTTGAGATTCTCCATGCCAAAATTTTGGGAGCTTCGCTAACTCCATCATTTCAAAATATTTGAATAGTTGATTCTTCATCCTATCAACTTTAATCTGACTAGCAAATGCAATAAACATATCATCAATATATAGAAGCAAGTAAATGAAGTCAAAGCTGACCAACTTCATTAAATATGCACGATGATCATACAGGCTCTTTGTGTACTCAAGTCTCCTCATAAATCGATCAAATTTTTTGTGCCACTACTGTGGTGACTGATTCAACCCATACAAAGACCAGTTCAGTTTATAAACTAAGACTTTTGATGCTCCATATCCAGTGACTGTAACATGTAGATCTCCTCTTGAAATTTCATGTGTTGGAATGCAGTCTTCACATCGAGCTGTTCCAAGATCAAACCGTATTGTGCTACAAACGCTAAGAGAACACAGAGTGAGGGATACTTGACCACTATGAGAACACTCGCTGTAAACAACGCTGGCAACACACACCTAATTTGGTGCTGTAAAAACCGAACCTCGCTCTAATCATTATCATCTACTCCTAAACCTAAAACCACACTCTTTGATGCCAATTGGTATGTGAAAACAATGTAGAAGTGTAGAAATTCACACAACAACAATCAAACACAGAAAAAATTTACGTGGTTCGGCGTTAAGTTGATTCGCCTACATCCGCGGGGAGGGAGTTTCCACTAACACAAGATAAAGAACAAGGAAAAATGGCTTGGGATTACAACTCAATATTTCCTCACCATACAACCTCTCATAAGCCCTCAAGACCCTTTTATAGAGGAGGACTAGGACATACAAATAAATAAGGCCAAATGACAAAAATTACCCTTAATTACAATAAAAGCCATAAATACAATAATGTTCATGCATTTATCCCGAATTAATTAATTTAATGTAATATTCTCACTATATAATTATTACATTAAGAAATATCATTATAACTTTTTTATCGCTGGCCCTTCTCATGACCGTCACGAATTTTAAAACATCTGTGACTATCCCATTTCAGTTGGAAGGTGGTAAAATGTAAACGAATTTCACCAACCTTTCTTGGAAAGAGAATCAAGTTAACTTCCAAGAATTGAATTTTGATAGATAAGCATATGAGGAAAACATATAATGTGCTCATGAATTTTGATAGATAAGCATATGAGGAAAACATATAAAAAAAAAAAAAATTCCAAGCATGTGAGATTTATGATAATGTGCTCGTGTGACTTATTTAAGGTTCACATTTGGGAGGGAACATCATTTTTGAAACTCATGGTTTTAGCTAATAATGAGAAACTATGAGATTTTAGGCTAGCTTGGTGAAACTAGGCAAGGAACAAATAATTAAGCTATTAATCATACAAAAAAAGTATTGCAGACTGAATGCTTGAAGGCAAACTTATATGGGCCAAAGAAGAAAAAGAAGGAACCATGTAACTAATTCAATTTCAAATTTCGAACTATTATCTTCATGTAAACTTTTATGCACTCTAATTCTCTCTCTCTCTCTCTCTTTATGATATAATGTTATAAACACAATAGTACTATCATGTAATAAAAGAGTTGAAGATGAATAAAATTACTGAAGCTGTGTTTATCTCCTAAGGCTAGAGCTTGGATGCTCTCAAGTATTGGTAGAGCTTGATGCCCTTCCCCTTAAGGGTAGCACTCTGGCTTTTCTCTCATTAAAATATTCATTGGAATCATGTCTAATCATTCCCCTCTTTGACAGTTATGATGTTATCTCCCTCCACCCCACCCTCCAAAATTTCTCACTTTGGGATCATAATGTTAGCAAGATAGTCTCTGCTTGATTTACATGCTTAACTAGTTCTAGAAAAGAAAAAAAAAATTCCTCTATTGGTAATTCATTTGTGTTCTAATGTTTCAGGAGCTAGAATTGGAGAAGTTCCTAACTCATGATGTGCAATTCTCTGACATCAGCAAGGCTTTTGAATACTTGCACAAAGGTGAAAGTCTTCGCTGCAGAATCCGTATGGATGCCTAAAGACAAAAGCTGTGATCAACAGCAAATCAATAAACCTTTTTATTTGTAAACATGAGAAAATAAAGTTTTATCATCTTAAAAGGTACTCTGGGTTGCATAGCAGATCAGTGAGTACATGATGATGCGTCAATAAAGAGGGGTTAGAGCAAATAGAGTTACCAGATCGGAAAACTCATTGGGGCAAAACCAAGCCAATGGGGGCATATGCAATGACTTGATTATTAATTTTGATTCTTTTTGAATCTATAATTTGTGGAGCTTGAAAGATCAATGGATTGATTAATATAATGAATTGCCTATTTGTATGATCGGCATTTGTTTATTTGTACACATCGTACTGGTTAAAGTCTTTTTGAAATTGGCTAGCTTAATGAGTTCAGAGAGCGATGCAAGTGACTACACTATTGGGGTAGTTTTAGGACAACGACGCGATAAGATGTTTAGAGCTATATAACATGCCAGTTAGACTCTAATTGAAGCTCAAATTAATTATACCAATACTGAGAAGGAGCTTCAAGCTATAGTATATGCATTTGATAAATTTAGAGCCTATTTGATTGAAACTAAATGTAATGTTCACAGTGATCATTCTGCAATTTGATATCTGATGTTAAAAAAGGATGTCAAACTGAGATTGATTATATGGGTCATGTTAATGCAAGAATTTGATATCAAGGTTGTAGATAGAAAATGTATCGAAAATCAAATAACGGACCATTTAGCGAGACTAGATCAGAGGAGTTCATGTATTTATAAAGAGGAGATCAATGAGAATTTTCTTGATGAGCAACTATTTGTTATTTCTGAGTGGCACATTCCGTTGTATGTTGACATAGTAAATTATATAGTTAGTAATATTATGCCTTATAATTTAGCATACCATTAATGGAATAAACTCATTCATGACGCTAGATATTTCTTTTGAGATGACCCATATTTTTTAAAAAAATGTAAGGATAAAGTGATTAGGAGATGTATACCTATTGAAGAATCCCTTGAAATTATTAAGAAATGTCACAATTCTGAATTTAGGGGACATTTTGGAATATATAGAACTGCCGCTAAGATTTTATATTCTAGATTTTACTGACCTACTTTATTTAGAGATGTGAATGAATATATTAAAAATTATGATAGATGTCGGAGAGTAGATAATATTTCAAAGCGAGATGAAATGCCCCTAAATTTTACTTTGGAGATTAAAATTTTTTATGTTTGGGGTTTGACTTCATGGGGCCATTTGTTTCTTCGTTAGGGAATTTATATATTTTGATAGCTGTGGACTATCTCAAAGTAGATTAAGGCAACGGGTCTACCAAATTGTGATGCTCAAATTATAACACATATTTTAAAGAAGAATATCTTTAGTATATTTAGTATCCCTAAAGTGATCATTAGCGTTGGGGAAGCCACTTTAACAATAAAAAAATTGAGGCATTGGTTGCAAAATATGGTATAAAGCATCCCTAGATGAGTGGTTTAACAGAGGTATATAACAGAGAAATTAAAATAATTTTGGAGAAAACTGTCAATCATAGCAGGAAGGATTGGTCTTTAGGATTAGATGATGCACTGTAGGCATATAAGACTGCTTATAAAATGGCTATAGAGATGTCTCTATATTGGTTCATATTTGGCGAACTGTGTCATTTACTAGTGGAATTAGAACATAAAGTTTATTGAGTATTAAAGATTTTAACTATAATATGAAAGATAGCTGTTGAGAAAAGGTGACAACAGTTAAATGAACTTGATGAGATTATACAAGAATCTTATGAAAATGTAAAAAATTATAAATTGAAATGAAAAAATGGCATGATCAAAAGATTCTTAGAAAATATTTTGAGTATGGACAGGATGTTTTATTATATAATACGCGATTGAAATTGTTTTCTAGAAACTTAAGTCCAAGTGATCAATACCATTTACTATGTTAAAAGTTTATCCTTTTTGTGCAATTAATATTAAAGATCCTAAGAGTGGTAGGGTGTTTAAGGTGAAGGACCAGAGACTTAAACGCTACTTGGGTGGTAAGAAACCCATGATTAACGAGGTCTTAATTTTGGGTTAACCTGAGAAATTATCTGGATTCATCGTACTGAGAACATTAAACTAAGAACTGGGAGGCAATCCAAGTTTGTTATTTGTGTTTGTGTTTCTTGTTGTTGTGTTGAGTGTTTGTATTGATGTGTTTGTAATTATGTTGTGATTGATTTACTTTGATTAGTATTGTGTGATTTAAGGGAGACGAATCCTTAGACTTCTCATTTTGTCTGAACTCTGGCATGTCTTCTGGTAAATTAGAGGAGTGACTGTGTTATTTAAAACTTGCTTTTGAATCGAACATAAGGTTATACAGGAGATATGATGTGTTTAGGTATGAGACGGATCCATCCCAATTCCTTACTTCCTATCTCTGACCCTGTTCTTTTATCACGAGGGCCTGTGTTGTTTAGTGATTAGAGGAGTTGGTGCATGATTTCCATTATCGCACAAATCGAGATGAATAATTTAATTGGCAGGGTAGCACATGAGGATTGGCAAAAACGATTCACTAGTTATCTAGCTAATCATTTGGAGATATTTTTTTCTTACAAAAATATGTTTGAAAACATTTGACTGTCAATAGAGAAAAAGAGGAGCGAGATGTGATGAGAAGAAGGATAAGTGACCTTATTTATCTTTAGGATGTTGTTGGAGTATGTTTTACATGTTGTATGATGATTTGAAGAACTTCCGGGGATGAAATTTGCAATAGAATGACAAGCTGGGTTTTGTTGCAAACTGTCGCCTAGCTGTTGGATGCTCAAGTGAGCACTGCCTCGGCGCTGCTATCGCGGTGCCTCGGAGCTGTCCTTACCTACTCGGTAATTAACCCTAAAGTGGCCCGACTAACCCCATTTTCATAATTTTTCTTCCCTTCTTCTTTTTCGGTGACCGAGAGACGACACCTAGGGTTTCCATTTTCTTTCCAATCTCTCATGATCCAAAAGTTTTTTTGTGCTGGAAATTGCTCCTAAGAGGAAAATTTCACTCTCTAAACTCTTTCCTTCGATTTTCATCCGGGATTTTTGAGTTTTTGGGTGGAGAAAGTTTGGATTGGTGATTTTTTGGGGAAAACCCTGATTTAGCTCTTGATTTGCATTTTGTTCGGGGTTATGGCCCAAGCTTGGCATGACAGCTGCGCAGGCTTAGCGTGACCACGCCCCAGGCTTGGTGTGATCGCACCTGACCAAAAAGAGGCAAGTGTGTTGCTTCTAGGGTTCAAAAACACTATGATTTTTCTGGAAGCTCCATATGATTCTGGAAGTTGCATGTGACTCAAAAATGAGGTCAACAGAGTATGATGAGGGATGACTCGTTGATAGAAGAGTGCGAGGTAAACTTATCTGACCAAATGCAGACATCTAAGCCAAATCCAGCAATGCCAAAACAGACCGAGGCACGGAGAGGATAAAAAATAGAACCAATTTATCAAAGTCTAAATCATTCAGTTATAAATGAGATAAAGAGACATTTGAGCAAATCATCACAAAGAAACCAACCTGAGAGAAGACCATGTCTCTCCGCGTATTCAATCATATTAAGGATGTCGAGAAGTCCCTCATATATTATCGAGGGTCGAGAACCAGACTAGATCAACCGACCAACAAAACTGACAAAGCCTAGCCGACTGAACCGGTCCTGCTGACCCGAAGCCAATCAAGCTCAACAAACCGGGCTAGAGAACAACAAAGCAATAGACTCATAAATGTAAAATACCAAGAATATCCTATACAACCTTCTTTAAAACATGGGCGAAACTATAACATTATCATATTGTATCTCTTCTCTTATAATAGGAAGATCATTTCATGAATAAGACATGATATATATTATTGTTCATTATGATTCACTCATTACTGTTCACTCATCTTTCTTTCTCTTTCTCTCTCTCCTTATGCATTATTATGTGGTGTGATTCACAAACAAATTAGGATTCAACAAATATGATTTCAAAACATACAGGTATATATATATATATATATATAT